TATTAATTTTATTAAGCATTTCTCTTTGACTTATTTTTAGGCTCCCCTGTACGGCTGGTATTTTGTCCTCATCCGCTACTGTAAAAACGCTAGCAGTGTATTTATTTAACAAGTCAGCCATTTCCTCTTTTCCGTTATAGTCTCACCTACATCTGCCTTTAATGGACCCACATTCCCATTGACCATTCTCTTTCTCTTAATGTATTTGCCACAGTGATATCAATTGCAAGTTATGTGGTTTTAGTTGGTTAGGCTTTAAGAGTTACTTCCAATGTACACTCTGAGGTCCCTAAGCCTTGGCTCTTGCCAACCTGCACCTAATACTTTCTGAAATTAGGTAAGCAGGATGTATCCCTCCAGGGAGAGAGTGCACATTCCATTCCAGACACAGCACACAGATTTACTGTAAAATGTAGTGACTGTGTTTTATAGGTGAATGCAGCGACTAATTTGCGCACAGCAATGTCCCACAATCAGCCATGAAATGAAGGATCAATTTTATTTGGGGGATTGTTGGTCAGGATGTCGAGAGAGAAAAACTCCCTTCTCTTTTTCCAAAAGTGCCATTGGATCTCTAATGTCCATCAGTACAGACACAGACAGAGCCTCGATTTAACGTCTTATCTGAAGAACGGTGTCTCTGACAATGCGTCGCTAACCCCCTGCTGCCTGGCTGGTGACACAGAATAATGAAAGAGCTGAACACAGGAAGTGATGAGCCAAGCTTTCTCCGCCAGTGATGTGAGGACACAAGCTTAACTGAGCAAGAAAGGCTAGGACACAGGCAGTGAGAACACAGCAACAGAGTACAGGGACTGGGAACAGACCACATCAGGGGAGGTTGGGGAGGTGTGAGAGCCTCTGTGCAATGCTCTATGGAGGAGCAGGCTGCCTGGGCTGACCCACCCCTTCCTTTTCCTATGTTCCTCAGGGATTTGGGGAAGGTGGAGGGAGTGAGGACATGGTGTGGAAGGTCCTGTCAGTGGGACACAGAGCGAGAAGCAGCAGAGCAAAAAGAGGAAACTTCAATCCAGCATTTTTGGGGGCCCTCGATAATGTGTATTTTAGGAGATAAAGACACTTCCTGCAAAAACAAACAGGAAGCAAGCCCTGGGCAAACTGAGAGGTACTGAGGGTGACCAACAGCGAGAGAGGACAAATGCTTGCCTTTAGCTGGGGAATGGGTGAACAGGGCCCAGGCTCAGCATTGTTAGCAAAGGAATCAGGAATAGTGAGAGCGAGAGAGAGGGAGGGGGGAGGAAAGTGGGAAGAGAGCTGAAGAGAGAGAGAGAGCGAAAGTTAGAGAAAATGAGAGAGAGCTAAAAAGAGGAGTGCAAGAAAGAGAGATTAAAAACAGAGCGAGCTGGAGAGAGAAAGAGATTGATGGCTGGAGAGAGAGTAATATAAAATGATTAAGGAAACAAGGGAAACCCTAAGGGAGCAGTTAGGATGGGGGCAAGATCCCCTTGAGGTGTGCACTTGGTGACATGAGGGATCTCACTCATGCGGGTTTCCTGTGTAATCACAAGATCAGTCTGGGTGAAGACGACTCTTCGGCCCATCTGATCTCATCCCACTCACCCAACCGTCCCAGTGGGCTGAAGGGTCTTCTTCACCCAAACTGATCTTGTGATTACACAGGACACCCACATCACTGAGATCCCTCATTGCACCCAGCTGTGTTTTAAATGAGTTCCAGTGTCTTGATTGTTATTGTTATTATTTATATCCTATATGTAGTACTATACATTTGTCTGTATTAAACTTAATTTGCCAGCGATCAACCCATGAAGGTTAACATCCCAGCAGTATCTCACGGACCAGCACTCACTCTGGCCACCCAGCGCCAAGCCAGAGCAACACATTACCACATTATCACAGTGTAGCTCTCGGCCTCTCCATTCACACGTTTGTTCTCTATTCGCTAGGGTGACGATCGTGAGGGGGAGTGTGGTTGCTGAACATTCTCCACTCCCAGGTTTAATGCAAATGAAATGGAAAGTTCTGGAGCCGAGCGAGGAATTCATAGAAGCTGCTTGTCTCTCGGCAGAACCCAAATTGCCAAGAGCTTACTGATCAACAGATTAGATTAAATATTTCGCCATTGCCTGGAGTCAAGGGATCAGGGATTGAGGATAGGGTGAGGGTTAGGACAGTTTCACCAGGAAATATATTCCTTACATTTGATATGTTTGCATTTTTTGCCTTTCACATCAGGAAGATGTCTCAAAGTTTTCACAGGAATCATTGTAAAGTGTAGTGACTGGGACAGTTCGGCTCAGTGTGTGCCTGAGAGAGAGAGAACAGAGTCTTACAAGTGTGTGTTTTTCGGTGTGTGTGTGTGTATGAGTGAGTACGTGTGTGTAAGTGTGTCCTCTCCCCTTATCAGTAGGGCCATCTCATAGTAAACAACCTTCCAATATGAGCAGTGTCACTGCATTGCAAAAGCTCGGCTCATTTCTTCCTGCATAAGCTGCAGTGTGCTCTCCCAGGCTGGCTTCCCAACATCTGCCTCCCCTGGAGCTCAGCTCTTCTTGGGGGATGTGAAGTTCGATTTCCCCCCCCATCTCAGGACACCGAACTGGATGCCCTGAATTAGCAAATGCCTATCACTTGCTAGCAAATGCCTAGCAGTAACACAGCCCAGCCTATCAACCAGCACAGTAACACAGCCCAGCCTCTGTGTCTCTCTCTGAGTATGTCTCACTGTGTCTCTGTGTAACTCACATTCCCCACAATTTTTGGCAAATATTTCCACAATTTTCTGTTGGCCCAACTCACAGCTCATTCCTTTAACACTGGGGTTCAGCCTCTTTGCTCTCCTCTGCACTGTCTCTAGGGTCAGAGCAACCCCTTATGTCAGTGACGAGAGCTGTCTGCAGTATTCAAGGTTCGGCCTGACCAGTGTGGAGGACAGAGTACAGGGAGCTTTACTCTGTCTCTAACCCGTACCGTCGCTGACCTGGGAGTGTGGACAGACAGTGTAGAGGAAGCTTTGCTCTGCCTCTAACCCTGACCTGGGAGTGTGGACGGACAGTGTAGAGGAAGCTTTATTGTGTCTCTAACAGCTCAGTGTGTGACAGCTCTGTCTGGGTATTGGTGGTTTTATTGTAGCCAGGTGCAAAGAGGTGTCTTTCCATTAAAACGTCAGACTGTTTTGGAGCCAGTAAGTTTATATAAAACAAAGCGGCAAGGGTACACAGCTCACACGCAATGCAGTCACAGTCAGGTTTAGAATGCATTGGAGAGGATTCGTTCACATAATCAAAGGGAGCAATTTCCTGAGTCCACGAGGGGGGGTTTCACACACCCCGAGACTCCGACCGTGTTTCACCCGACCCCGGGTCCCCATCACATTATTGTTCCAATCACTCTGTGTGCAATTCACTGCTGCATAATAGACTAGTTAGCAAAATTGAAGCCCGTGGAATGAAAGGGACAGTGGCAGCACGGATGCAAAATTGGCTGAGAGACAGAAAGCAGAGGGTAGTGGCAAATGGTTGTTTATCAGACTGGAAGGAAGTATACAGTGGTGTACCCCAGGGGTCCGTATTAGGTCCACTGCTCTTTTTGATATACATAAACTACTTGGACTTGGGTATAGAGAGCAACATTTTAAGGTTTGCCGATGACACAAAACTTGGGAACGTAGTAAACAGTGTGGTGGATGGTAGCAGACTGCAGGAGGACATAGACAGGCTGGTGCAATGGGCAGACACATGGCAGATGACGTTTAATGCAGAGAAGTATGAAGTGTTGCACTTTGGGAGGAAGAATGAGGAGAGGCAATATACACTAAAAGGTACATTTTTAAAGGGGGTTCAGGAGCAGAGAGACCTGGGGATTCACATACACAGGTCTTTGAAGATGGCAGGACAGGTTGATAGAGCTGTTAAAAAAGCATATGGGATCCTCGGTTTTATAAATTGAGGTATAGAGTACAAAAGCAAGGAAGTTCTGCTAAACCTTAAGTCACTGGTTAGGCCTCAGCTGGAGTATTGTGTCCAATTCTTGGCACCACGCTTTAGGAAGGACATCAAGGCCTTGGAGCGGGCGCTGAGGAAATTTACCAAAATGATACCAGGGATGAGGGACTTTAGTTATGTGGAGAGACGAGAGAAGCTGTGATTGAGATTTAAAACAGGTGTTCAAAATTATGAGGGTTTTGATAAGAGTAGATAGGGAGAAATTGGCCAAGTTTCCACTGGCAGGTGGGTTGGTTTAAGATGATTGGCAAAAGAACCAGTGGGGAGATGAGGATGTTTTTATACAGAGAATTGTTACGGTCTGGAATGCACTGCCTGACAGGATGGTGGAAACAGATTCAATAACAACTTTCAAAAGAGAATTAGACAGGTAATTGAAAAGGAAAATTTGCAAGAATATGGGGAAAGAACGGGGAATGGGGCTGATTGGGCAGAACTTCCAAAGAGCGGGTACAGGCACGATGGGCCGAATGGCCTCCTTCTGTGTTGCAATATTCTATAATTCTATGAACTGCCAATATTGCTGAATGTGATGTATGTGGTGTGTTGTATGTATTGTTGAGTGTTATAATAAAAATATATAATAATCCTTGCATTTGATATAACGTTTTTTATGTCTTCCAGATGTCTCAAAGCGTTTCACAGAATATTTTGTAAAGTGAATTGACTGTGTATTTATGGGCGAAATGCGGCAGCCAATTGCACACAGCAGTGTCCCACAAACAGTCATGGTTGAGTGACCAAATTATATCTTTTCTTGAGGGATTATTATCAGGAGTGTGGAGTAAGGAAACTTGCCCGAGACTTCTACCTGCCAGGAATCGAACCCAAGTCTCTAGCTTGTGAGGTGAGTGCTTTAACCACTGAGCTGCAGGACTCCAATAAATGTTGATGTGTGTAGTGTGTGTGTGTGTGGCTGTGTTTGAGTGTGTGTGATGTATATGTCGCTCTGTGTGTGTGTGTGGCTGTGTGTCTGTGTGGCTGTGTGTGTGTGTGTGGCTGTGTGTGTGTGTGGCTGTGTGTGTGTTTATCAGTGGGTGGTGCTGTGTGAGTGTGTGACTCGCTCTCACACAGCCACACTGTTGGGAATCCTGTCTGGTGACATGTAATAATACGGCAGTTTCTTGTTGATGTTGCGCTCAGTGATGGCATTGGTGATTTTCTGCAGATTCTGCCGGAATGTCACCATGGCCTCTTTTGCTTCTTTCTCAGTGAAATGTTCGTCCGGGTATGAGCCAAGGAACAGCTGCCGACACAAGAAGAGATTCAGTCTGGCCGGCAGCACAGGAGCTGTCTCTTCTGCCTCCTCACCCACCAGCACTGCGCCCCCACCACCCTCCCAGCATTTACCCCTCCCCAGCACTTCCCCCTTACCAGCACTGCCCCCCCACCCCCCAGCACTGCCCCCCACTCCCCAGCACTGCCCCCCACTCCCCAGCACTGCCCCCCCCACCCCAGCGCTGCCTCCCCCAGCAATACCCCCCCAGCAATACCCCCCAGCAGTGCACCCCCCAGCAGTGCACCCCTGCAGCAATGCTCCCCTGCAGCAATGCCCCACCCATCCACCCAGCACCGCCCCCCCACCCCATCAACACTGAGAGTGATACTGAGTGATCCAGGTTGACATGCTTTACATTGTACTTTTTCCCTCATCAAGGTTTCCAATGATATCCTCTGCCTGTGCGACCAGGGTTCCCTCTGCCTCCTCATCCTCTCTATCCTCCTCCCCCGTCTCCCCCTTCAGCAGGACTGCACTCGCCTGGTTCACGTCCTACTTGACTCTCCACCATTTCATCTCCACTAATGGTTTGACCTCCCGCCCTTGCACTGGCCCCAGTGGTTACTGCAAGCCTCTATTGCAGGCCCTCCTTTTCCTCATTTATATGTTCCTTCTTGGGTGATGCACACATACAATCGGCTCAACTTCCACATTTAGTGGATGTGGAAGAGACCTAAATCTACTTCTCTTCCTCTAGATGTGGGTGCAATTCTCACTCTAGTCTGACTGCCTGCTTGGCTGACATCGTGGCTTGGATGAGCGCCAACTTTCTGCAGCTGAACATGGACAAGACAGAAGCCAATCATTGTAAACCTAACTCTCAGGTTAGATGTTTCACTCTCACAGCCCTCAGGCTAAACTGTGACCTAACTTCTCACTCTCTTGTGATGACCTGAAATTGTTGGAGGGAGGACGGTGATAGGAGGAAGGGGGAAAAGAAGAAAGGAGAGAGGGTGAAGTAGGGATGGAGTCCCAGAGAGCAGGGGTAGAATGACTGAAAGTTTGCCCGCTGATGATGGGGTGGGTCAGGCAGGGGACATAGAGCAGGCCGGTGCTCGCTGAGCAGAGGGACAATATGCTTCTCAGGGCTCACTGCCACCTCCACCCACCCCCCACCATACTACCCCTCCCCCACCGGCAGCCATGCTGTGCTCACAACCCTCCGCTAACACAATCCATACCTCGTTGTCCTGGAACTGACTGAGTGCCCACACAGCGCCCAGGTGCCAGCAGGAGCGCCCGCGGTCAGGAAGGCTCTCGATGATGTACTCCACCGTCACCTTCCCCTTGCTGGTTGGTGGGGGCTGCCTCATGGTGGGTGGGGAGTTGGGGATCCAGGAACACCAGTCATACTGCGGGAGGAGGGGGGGAGACGGAGAGACAGGAACACCAGTCATACTGATGTCACTTCCTCTGCACCACCTGATGATCAGAGTTTGGCTGTTTGGCAACCAAGTCGTGGCCAGCACACACTCACACTCATTCTCACACTCATTCTCACACTCACTTATGCTCTGACTTGTGCTCACCCTCGTGCTCGCACTCACCTGGCCGAAGTTGACTCCAGCATGCTGGGCGGAGGTTGTGAAGATGATCATGGTCAGGTACTTGATCAGCTTCTCAATGGTTTTGATGGCTTTGGGGAATCCTGGGACACAAGGGGAAAGAGCAGGGCTGGAAACCTCCGACTAAAGCGTTTTGTGTTATCAGGGCGTGAACCCCAACATTGACTTACCAAACCAATTCATGCCAAACCACGTGCCCACTCCCGACACGGCTTCACACAGCCAATTTGCACGCAACAACGTCCCACAAACAGCCACGGGGTGAGTGGCCAAGTTTATTTAGGGGATTGTCAGCCAGGACACCAGGAGAGAGAAACTTCTCTTTTCCAATAGTGCGTGGGACCTTTAACATCCACCTGACCAGGCGGACGGTGACGTTAGTTTAACGTCTCATTCAAGGGACGGCACCTCTGACAATGCAAACCTTCCCCCCACCCCACCCCCCCCCCCCAACTTTGTAGTGGAGGGTCTGCCTAAACTGTGAGTTCAAAATCATGACGTTAAATCCACGTGGGAGGCAAGAGGCGACAGACTGCCTTGTGGACATAGAGTCCCTCACCCTGTTAATAACTGACAGAAGACGGTACCTGAACGCTTGTTATTCTTCATGCCGTAGACATACACGTCCTTCACCATGTTCTGCAGTTCGGAGTCAGTGCGAACAACCTGATCATTATCGTAGTAGATGCTAACTATCTCTGTAACAAAGCTGATCATATACAGATACAGATAAGCCCAGACCTCATCTTAATCGTCAGCACTCACACCGATTGTAAACCCACCCACACACACACAGCCCCACCACTACATCCCCCCACGCACACTGCCTCGCCACTGCACACAGCCCCACCACCGCACACAGCCCCCTCCCACATACTGCCCCATCGCACATTGCCACCCCATACACACAGCCTCCCCCCGCACACAGCCCTCCACATGCAGCCCCACCACCGCACCCCAGCCCCCATTCACACAACGCCACCCCCATGCACCGCTCCGCTCCACATCACACCCCCCCCACACCACACCCCCCACATACAGCCCCGCCACCACATCCACGCACACACAGTCCCAACCCCGGCCCACATTACAGATAGCCCACGCCCCCCCCCCAGCACCACTCACCCCTGCACAGCATCCCAGACCTTGAGGCCATCGTCCCGGAAGTAGTAGTAGGGCAGGTCCTCGCTGCTCTCCACACCCCGCAGCCTGATGGCCTCAGGGAAGCAGAGCGATGCGTAGGTCAGATCATCCATGGCTTTCTGTATCAGCCGCACGTGCCCTCCCCCGCCCGTGGCGTTGGCCTGTGCACAAACACCCACAGACTCTGGGTCAGTGCTGACTGTGCCGGGCAAGGGCGCTGGGTGAGGTGGCTATGCCAGGTGAGGGCACTGGGTGAGGTGGCTGTGCCGGGCAAGGGCGCTGGGTGAGGTGGCTGTGCCGGGCACTGGGTGAGGTGGCTGTGCCGGGCGCTGGGTGAGGTGGCAGTGCCGGGCACTGGGTGAGGTGGCTGTGCTGGGCACTGGGTGAGGTGGCTATGCCGGGCACTGGGTGAGATGGCTATGACGGGCGCTGGGTGAGTTGGTTGTGCCGGGCACTGGGTGTGGTGGCTGTGCCGGGCACTGGGTGAGGTGGCTGTGCCGGGCGCTGGATGAGGTGGCTGTGCCGGGCGCTGGGTGAGGTGGTTGTGCCGGGCGCTGGCTGCGGTGGCTGTGCCGAATGAGAGTGCTCGGGAGCTCAGCCATGGGTGCCCAGCGCTGCCCGTCCCCTCACACAGCCGCCGTTTACCTTGTCAAAGAGCCCGCACTTGCAGATCAACTGCTCCCGAGCCTTGGTGTTGATGGCAATGGTGAACCTGACGTGAGGCACTAAGAGCTGTGTGAGGGCAAGGAAACACAAGCGTTTAGACACCCGGAACCTTCAACACGCTCCACCACGCACAACAAGCAATTAGACATTAAATCACAATGACTGACAGCCAGGAGGACAGCACCACACAGCCTGACAAACAGGGCAGCGAAGGCCGGGGTTGCTTAGCACTGTCACCATCACTGCACCGTGACTGCGGAAGCTGGGGTGAGGGAGTGAGGATTTTGGGTTGAGGGGGGAGAGCGATTACCTTGAAAAGCGGGTGGACAGCAGCCAGCTGCCGGTACAGAGCCACACCGAACACCTCTGAAGTGAGGTGTGTCCGTAACAGGTGGGTGACGGTCTGATGGATATGGAAGTCGGCGGAGCGTACCCAGATCTTAGCCAACAGCCAGTCATACGTGTCGTCGGAGGGCAGGAAGATGGGGGTCTCCGGGTCGGGGTTCTGTTTCAGCTGAAAAACAAGAAAAGTGATTGTTCCTGCTGTCAGATCCGGGCCTGGAGAGCTGCACTGTCAGAGGTGCCATCCTTCAGATGAGACGTTAAACCGAGGTCCCATCAGGTGGATGTTAAAGGTCCCATGGCACTATTAGATTTCTCTCTCCTGGTGTCCTGGCCAACAATCGCGAAATAAAATTCGTCACTCACTCATTCCACAGCTGTTTACGGGATATAGATGAGTCCAAATTCGTTGCCACATTCACCTAACACACAGTCACCGCACTTTACAGTGTGCGTCACTCTGATGCAGTGGTAGCAATCTCGCCTCTGAGTCAGAAGGGACTTGAGTCACATAGGCTCACGCTCCTATGCAGTACTGGGGGCGTGTTGCATTGTAGGAGGTGGACGTTAAAGTTTTGTGAGTGTCTCTGTGAATGTGTGTCTCTCTCTGTCTGTCTGTGTGCCATGGCGGACCCTGAGAGGCAGGAGGTGATGATTTCCTGTTGCCCCGCAGTCAGGACACTGGCGAGCTTGGCGAGCAATGCTGGTGTTTGGTGGATCTCTAACCCTTCAAATGCAGTGTGGGGTGGAAACGGACCATTTGACCCTTGGGGTCTGCGTGAGTGTTTCTCTCCCCTCCCCCCCAATTGCCTGGAGTGCACCACCCAGTTTTTTGTTAAAGAAACCATTAATTTTTTTTGCATCTATCTGTGTTATTTCTCCATGTTTAGTTTTTATCAATAAAGTGAAAAAATGTACGTTAACAGTAAAATGTATCTCAATAGCACCAATCAACTCATTGCAATCTTTTGCAAAATTTGTCAAATTTCCCTGCACTATCTGCCAATTATTTTCGCAATTTTCTATTGGCCCTGGTGATAAAGCATTATATCTAAAGCAAGGATTATTACAGTTCTGTGAAGAGCTTTGAAGACTCTCTGAACAGTGAGTATTGTTATCACAAACCATATCGGTTGACAGTGATAGAGATCTGAAACTCCTTTATCTTTCAGTGGTAGCTGCAGGCGAAAGCAAGTGTAACTACTCAGAATAACTCTCAACACTCCCACACTGAATAGCAAGCATGTGATTGCACTTATTGGCAAGTCTGTCTCACCACCAACTTCCCAGAAAATTTCTTTGAAGAACCTATCTCATCATCTCGCAGCCCTCAGTCCACTCCCAGCACCATCTGGCGAGAGTTATTATATGGCATGGAAGGAGCGAAGAGCAGGGGAAATGAGGGGAGCATTGGCTGGAGATCACAGAGGCAAGTAGGGGAAAAGCATTACAACAACAACTTGCATTTACACAGTGCCCTTCACGTGGGGCAGCGTCTCAGAGCGCTTAACAGTGGCGGGGCCTGATACTGAGTCGGGAGGAGGCTACTGTGTTCGAAGAGGAGGGTCTTCAGGTGTGATCTGAAAACGGGGAAGGAGGGGGTAAGGTGCAGGGATTGAGGGAGAGAGTTCTTAAAGTTTCGGGGCATTATGGCTGAAAACACGGCTGATGATGGTAGAGCAGATGGGATGAGGAACAAGCAGGAGGCTGGAGCCAGCTGAGCGGAGGCAGAAAGGAGAAAGCATTGGGAGATGTGAAGGTAAAATCTGGGACCTGGCACTGAGTGGAGAGGAGGGGCCTGAGAATGAGTGAGGAGGAGCGGCCTGGGAGTCCGTGGAGTTTGAGACTTACCTGGATGGCAATGGGAAGCAACTTATTGCTGGAGTTATTGTACAAGAGACACAGCGGTGCTGCCAAGTACTGAATGGTGCAGGGGTCGGTGGAGTTCGCAGGCACCTCGTCCAGGATCTGGTAGTCGGCCAGGTAAATGTTCCCTTTCTGTGAGCACAACACCATGTTACATGCTAATCATTCTCTGTGTGTGAGCACAGCACTGTTTTACACTGTGACCCCAGATCAGTACGTTCAGTCGCACCGAGACAGTAGAAGAAGGGGACCCAGGTTTAAGAGTTGCAAAGGGAAATTTCAGGACAGCCACCAGGAAGGTTTTCTTTATATTGAGGGGAAGTAAGCACTGACAGGTTACCAGGAAGCGATTTCTGAAGTGATCCCTGCCGCTCACTCCTTGGAGTCCCTACCCCAGGACCAGAGAAACCTCCAGCCTGTCTGTGACTTCAGGCCCACAGCAGCCGGCAGGGCTCTCCCCTCCACAGTGTGCCAGACAGGCAGTCAATTCTGGCAGGTGTAGTGACTGTTTGTACAGGAATGTGGTTATCCATGCTGCAAGGTGAAGATCAGTTGATACGGACACGTTTTGTCCACAGCAAATCCTTTTATTCAGGGTTCAGCCTGGCTCAGTCAGCAGCTCTGAGGTTGTGAGTGCCCACTCCATATCAGGACTTGGAACTCATACCATACTGACTCTCTGAATGTCAGAGGTGCCGTCCCTCGGGTGAGATGTTAAACTCCATTAAGCCTGTTCAGGTGGATGTTAAAGATCTTTGGAAAAAAAGGCGGTTTATCTCTCCTGGTGTCCTGGCCAACAATAACCCTGATACAATTCACTTTAGTGTGTGTGAGGACATGAGTGTGTGGTTGACTGTGTTAGTGTGCAGGGGGCTGGGACTGGGTGGGGGGTGTTGGGTGGGGAGTGGTGGTGTGCGCTGGGTGGAAGATACTGGCGGCTGGGCACTGGGTGGAGGTTATGGGATGGTGGGTGCTGAATACTAGGTGGGGGTACCTGGGTGGGGGGTGCTGGGTGGGGGGTGCTGGAGGCTGTGCGCCTGGTGGAGGTTGCTGGGGCTGGATGGGAGCTGCTTGGTGTTGGGCGTGAGGGGTTGGGCGCTGGTGTGGTGGGGGGGTGCTTGGTGGGGTGTGCTAAGTGCTGGGGCAGGCTGACCTCGATCTCCTCCTCCAGGCTGAGTTGACGCTCCAGGCTGGTAGCCACCATTTCACTGGTGACGGGGAAGTTGTCTGGCAGCTGTTTGCACTTTGTGAAGATGACGGGATTGCAGCCGTTCAGGAACTGGTAACCAAACATGAAGTCTTCCTTCCAGTGCTGCATGACATACTCTGTGAGAGAAACACATACATGGTGATCAGTCACCAAGGAACATGTTGTGCACGAAAGGGGGGGAGCAAGAGAGCAAGGGAGGAGGGGAGGGATGGATGGAGTCAGGAGGGGAGGAGAAAGTCAGCCAGAATGCTGGCCGCACATGTTGTTGTTAGGTTTCCCGTCTCCCAACCTGAAGAATGATAAATTCCCCAACACCGCTCGGATCCAAGGCCACGAGGCGCCATCTTGGATTCCAACGGATCAATGAGCGCCAACTGGCACAGAGCAGGGCTGGGGGACGGGGCTGTACCTGACTGACTAGACCCCACCCTCCCCCGGGCTGACAGGAGCACCCCTCCCACACCCACAAGCTGACAGGAAGCCAGAGCAGAGGCAGCCTTAGCACTGACCTGAGATGGTGTTGCTGATCCTAACAAAGATCTTCTCAAAGTCTCCAAAGTCATTCCACGAGCTCTGGAACATGTGCATGAAGCGATTGATGTAGAGATTCTCAATGCTGCCCACAGAACAGAGAGACACTATCAACAGAGCAGCAACAGAAACCCTCCCTCATTACTCCCTCCCTCCTTCACTCCCCTCCTCTCTCTCGTTCACTCCTTCACCCATTCCCTCCCTGCCCTCCCTCCCTCCGTCCATCAATCCCTCCACCCATACCTTCCTCACTCCCTCCTCCCGCACAGCAACAGAATATCTCTTAGTATCTACTGCTAATCTTTCTCATCTATTGCTCGACTGTGCATTTTAACTGATCATCGTAAACAGCAGACACACCGAAACCCTACACAGTGACCAGCCATGTGTCTGACATACATGGAAACCAATCACTGTGATCAGCCGAGTGTCCCCAGTGACTTGTCTGCCCTTCCAAATCCCGCTGATGAGCCAGGCTGGGCTGTGTTGTCATCAGCAGTGCCCTGGAATACTGTGGACCCGCCTGGCTCAGGAGCCGGACTAGAGACCATCACAGAGGGCTCAATTCCGACATTCCATTGGCGAACATGTCACTTTGGAGCCAGTTTGGCCAGGGAGGCACATTCATGTGGTTATCTCACTGTCCGCTACCCTAACTTTATTCCAGTCCCATTATACACCCCGGAGAGCACCCACCACAGCATCCAATAGCCAAATCTGTGTGTGTGTGTGTGTGTATGTGTGTGTGTGTGTGAGGAACCCTCAACCCCGCAAACCCTCAGCCCCCTGCCCCCCTGAGTGGTACTCACGCCTTGGTGTAGTTGAGCACAAAGTCGATGCCCTTCTCGCTGTCAAACTGAATGTCCCGGGGCAGGTCGTGGTGAGCAAGAGCATCAATGCTCAGGGGGAAGCCAGGGTGCCACTCCTTCCACCTGCACAACAACGACACCCGTCTCTTTCTCTCACTCTATACTCTCCCTCACTCTCTCATCACTCTCTTTTTCATCTCTCACTCTCTCTCACACACATCTCTCTCACTCTCATTCTCTCCTCACTCACACTCTCTCCTCATTCACACTCTCTCCTCACTCATACTCTTTGTCTCACACTCTCACTCTCCTCACTCACATTCACTCTCTCACACTCTCTCTCTCACACACTCTCTCTTACCTGTACGCTTTCTGACGCTCCTCCAGTTCACGCCTGCGGTGCAGTTTGGTGATCTGGCTGGTGTCATCCTGGGGTAACCTCGCTGCAGACACAAGATGCTCAGTTTGGGACTGTCTGACCCCAGTCCCACCTCCCCCCCGCCATCCCACACCACAGTCACATACACAAACTGAGCTAAACCTGGGCCACTGGAGCAAGGAGGATGTGACGAAGGGGTTTAAGGTGCTGAAGGGGCAACAGGGAGAGAGGACAAATGCTTGGGTGAGGGGGACTGCCCAGACTCAGAATTGTTAGCAGAGGAATCAGTGGGGAGGTTAGAGACGATCTCTTCACGAGGGGACAGCATAAACATGAGAGGGGGGGACACTGACCTTTGCCGTCCCGGAGCTCGATCTCCTTTTGGTCGGTGACCCAGCGATAGCAGGGGAACTCCACGTACTCGCCGCTGGGGGTCTTGATGGTGATGTAACGGCAATACCAGTCATCGTGAACCCAGTACTTGCGTTTCTCCAGCTTCACCACCTGCAGCTCCCCAATCAGCTCCGACACGGTCAAATCATATGTGTCCACCTGAAAGAGACATTGCTGTCACCTGGTTTCACCTCAAACCACCTCAGCACATCTTAAGCAGCACATCTCACCCCATCCCAGCAGATCTCACCCCAAACCCATCTCACCCAACCCAGCCCATCACACCCCATCTCATCCCGTCTCACCCCAACCCAATCTCACCCCAATCTCATCTCATCCCAATTCTGCCCAACTCCATTGCCTTTGTTAACCATAAAGGATTGTTTGTTACTTATGGAAGTAAGGGTAGCTGAATAGTGACAGAGAGTCCCACACAGCCACTGGCCTATGTCTAACCTCCCCTTTAATTCTCAGTGTGATTGTCTGAAATTTGTTCCTCTCCTTCATTGACTGGCTGCCCAGTAACATAATTTTTGCACAGCGGTGTTCTACAAACAACCATGAAGTGAGTGACCAATTGTATTTGAGCGATTGTTGGTCATGACACCGGGAGAGAGAAACTACCTTCTCTTTTCCAATAGTGCCACGAGATCTTTAATGTCCAGCTGAACAGGTAGACGGGGGCTCAGTTTAACATGTCAGGTAGTTGTTAAAAGGGTGCATTTGTGTTTGATAAACTATAATAAAGGATCAGGCCTGAAACACAAATTCCTTCTCTGACGGCTACTGACTGATGTGTTTTGCACTCTAACCACAATTTGTCCGTTGGGGTCAGCCTGGCTCAGGCGGGGGTTAGGAGTGGGGAGATAAGTGGTGTCTCCCTGGAGCTGAACTGGAATCAAGCCCAACCTTTATGACAGCTTCTAGTCCGGTTCCTGAGCCAGGCAAGTCCTCAGTATTCCAGGGCACTGCTGATGACAACTGAGTCCAGCCTGGCTCATCGGTAGGACTGGAAGGGCAGACTAGTCACTGGGGGCAGGGAATCCTTCCACTCAGCTCCTGTTAATGCTGCAAGCCAAACCCCTAATGCGTAGGATGATCCTAGCTGGACAAACAGCGGGAAAGCTTGTCAGACAGGGCTACTGGGTCAGAAGCTTACGGGGTCAGGCCACACATCTGTGAGCTGGTTGTCCAGGCTGACACTCCAGTGTACAGTGTCATCAGAGGCACCTCCTTCAGAAGGGGGTGTTAAACCACAAGCTGATCTGTGCCTGTTCAGATTCACAATAAAGATCCCTCAGTGCTACTCGAAAAAATACGCCCTGATCGTTAATGTGTGTTTCCCCGACCCTCCTCCCACACAAAAAAAATTGGGATTGTATACTTTATGGCTGTTTGTGGAACGTTTCTTTGAACAAATTAGCCGCCGTGTTCACCCAATAAATAGACATTGGTTGCAATTCAATGACATTTCAGTGATGTGATAAGGATCTGTATGATATTTGTGTATTTTTTTTGGTCACCCGAGTGTTAGAAAGGTTTGAGTTGGAGTTTTTGACTAACTAACTTGGCCGAGTTTGCCACGCAGAAAAGTCATAGGTTTGAATCACCCGGTCTGTGCCAAGGGGCTGATCTCTGTCCTGCTCTGTGCTGGGTTGCAGGTCTCACCCCACCCGCACCCCCGACCCCACCCCAGCGAAAATGGAGAAAAAGCCACAGTGCTGACATGAGAGAAGCAGAAATGAGTGTGAGCACAGCTCATCATTCGCATCTCGTCTCTGAATCAGAAGATTGTGGGTTCAAGCCCCACGTCAGGACTTGATGCGCTACAGTGTCGGAAGTGCCGTGCTTCGGATGAGATGTTAAAACCTAGGCCCCAGTTAGGTGAACGTTAAAGATCCCAGGGCACTATTGAAAAGGAGAAGGGACTTTCTGTCTCCCTTTGACCTGGCCGACAATCCCTGGATTAAATTAGTCACTCACTCCATGGCTGTTTGTGGGACACTGCTGAGCGCAAACTGGCTGCTGCGTTCATCTACAAACACAGTCACTACACATTATAGTAAAGACTCGGAAGAGCTTTGAGACAATGTAACACCTTTACATAGCGTTTGTTCAGTTAACACATATATACATTTACATAGCGTTTACATTGTTTGCATTTACATAGCGCCTTTCTTGTCAGAGCAAACCTCCCAGGGCACTTAACTGTGACCCTGAGCTGGAGTTGAGGGCCGACGGATGGGTGGGGTGGGTGGGGGAGAAAGATGACCGCAAGAAAAGTTCACACAGAAAATACATAGTCACCACACTTTGCGGTGAACCCTGTGTAGCGCTTTGAGACGTCTGCCCGAGTTGAGGTAATGATGAAGACCAGCTCACCGCTCCTCTCTCGAAGTCGTCGTAGAGCGGCTTGTCCAGCAGGGTCCTCTCGCTGCAGCCGTCTGTGCCCACCAGCGTCAGGTAAATGTAGTCGTCCGTGCCCGCAAACCACTGTGAGCCTGTGGACACCGTCACAGTGTAGGATGCCATCTGCGCTGCCAGTCACCCACACTCACTGACTGCTCACATCCATGCACACTCTCTTATCTCATTATTCACTATCTTCCGATTTGGTTTTAGTTCTGCTTTTTGTGAGTGTGCGTGTGTGTGGGGTGGTGGGGGGGAGGGGAGGTGGGACCGGAGGTGGGAGGGATCTCAGCGGTCTGTTCTGCCCACCAGCAGCCCCTGTGGTGATATGTTTCTAGAGTTGGAGAGACAGATATTCATCACATATCATTCTGCAAACGTTTCTTTTTATATATCTGCACTTAACACAATTCTCACATGTTGATTTCCCTCCAGGTCAGTCAGGGCAGGAAGCCAAACACAAACTGCTCTCTCTACCTCTATCTCTACCAAAGGGTTACTGCTCTCACCCTCACTTTAAACACAGTCAGCAATGTCAGCAATACCTAAGTCTTCCCTGCCTTTGATCATGCCCATAGCGAGGAATGCTTACAGGTGTGAGTCCAGAAGATGACACGTTTGACCCTCGGGGCTCACGGAGCTGAGCAGAATGGCAGGCAGAAACTGGGAAGATTATTGTTATGGATATTATGATTATTAGTATGATTAGTATTATTACTGCTCGCTAGCTGATACAACAATAACAAAATTACATTTGCATAGCGGCTTTCACGTCGGAAGGACGTCCCAAGGTGCTGGACAGGCAGCGTCGGGATTGGGGAGGGTTGAGGGCAGGGTGATTGAAAGCACGGTAATACCAACTCATTTCATGTTCCCCGCCCAGCCCACCCCACCACCAGCAGCCAGGCTTTCAGCTAATATGCTAATATCCAGGTGCTGTGCCTCAGCCCATCCTGCCCTGTGCCGTCCCATAGCCTAGAGCCAGGCTATGTCCATGCCCTTTGCTCTCCCATAGCCCAGTGCCAGGTTGTGCACCCTGTGCCCTCCCATAACCTTCAGGGATGATGAGGACACTCTCACTTGTTGGTGTTCAAGGTCAATGCTGCCATCTGTTGGACAAACATAGGTTTGATTCAACAGGACCTGTCACTGGGGCCAGATAGTCATCCCACTCAGCTCCTGTTAACCCTGACAGCCGAAGCCCTAACGGGTTGGGTGGTCCTAGCTGGACAAGCAGCGGGAAAGCTTGCCAGACAGCAATGGCAATGGCAAGCCATGTGGTTTTAGCTGGTTAGATTCCAGCAATTACCCCAAAGGCCCTATATCAAATGCAAGGATTATTACTATTATTATTTATAACAGTATAAGCCTCGCCACAGGAGCCAAGAGATGTGGAAATCAGACTCAGCAACGGTTGTGTTATTGTGGGGAAGTTATAACACAGAGGTCTACAGATGGTCATCTGCAGGACGGAACTTGCATTCTTTATCTTTTCCTCCACAGAAAATGGGCGAGAGCAACTATCAGGGTGTAGAATAATAATCATAATACCTACATTTAATATCGCGATTTATCCTATTGTCATACTCTAACCCCATTCCCTACTCTCTACCCATCGTGTCAGTGCTGTTGCTCACTCCCACACTAGAGCTCTCTACTCTTATCCAAATCCCTGCTCTTTCCCCATCATGTTTGTGCCCACGTGCCCATCTGATTCCTGAGATACTTTCCTGCAGAATATTAATGCAGGGTGATGATCCTGTGTGATTAAGAAGGGTACATTTTTAGAGAACTTCCTCACATGACGTGATTTTTTCTTTTTTTTCTGTGTAGTACCTGGAGGCCAACATCTCACACAGTTTGAGCATACTATTCAACTCACAAACAGTCAGTCACCAATTTTATTTGGTGGATTATTGGCCAGGACACCGGGAGAGAAAAACTCCCTTCTCTATTTGAATAGCGCCGCGGGATCTTTAACATCCACCTGGACAGACAGACGGGGGTTTAAAGTATCATCTGAAAGTGGGCACCTCTGACAATGCAATGCCCCCCCCCATCCCCAGTACTGTACTGGAGCATCAGCCTAGACTGTGAGCTCAAAGTCCCGACATGAGGCTTGAACCCACATCCTTCTGACTCAGAAACAAGAGAACTCCCATTTCACCCAGGGTCTCCGTTTAATGTCTTATCTGATGGTCCAGTGCTGTAACTGTGGCTATGGCTTTGGTTATGGGTGTCCCTCGCTGCGTGAGGCTGAAACAGGTGTATTTGCCACATCTGTCCCTTGTAGCTTACACTGTGTTGGGCGAAAGATACCTCACATTGCACTGGCTGGCTTTCTGCTGTTGTTTTCTGTCTATAGATCAGGAGATAAATCTTTCAGATAACACAACTTCCTGATAGTTGAGTCCCTTCAAATAACAGCAAAGATAAGAGGCGATTAAAGATAAAGCTCTGAAACCACACCAATGAAGCTGCAACCCTCTTAAACAGACATAGCTCTTACAGTTGTCAGTGCTCCGGCCTTCCTCATCCCTCGGTTTGCCAGTCACTGCACAGCATCAGCAAACTGCCAGGGTCTCATCCATTGGATGAGACGTTAAATCGAGGTCCCACCTCCCTGTTCAGGTGGACATTAAACCTTGCGGTGCTAATGGAAAAGGAAGGTCCTGGCCAACAATCCCCCAGATACTTACCACATGGCTGTTTGTGGGGCACTGCTGTGCACCTATTGGTTGCTGTGTTCGCCTACAAAATGCACAGTCACTATACCTTACAGTAAATTAGATCAATTTCAAGATGCTCACACTCACTTACAAATTACTTCATGCCCTGGTACCTCCTTACCTCTCCAACCTGCTCACCTGCACTCCTCTACCCACCCCCTTTCCTCAGTTGGCTCCGGCCTCCTGCTTGTCCCTCATCCCTTCCGCTCCACCATCAGCGATTGTGCTTTCAGCCACATCCCCCCAAGGTTCTGGAACTCTCTCCCTCAATCCCTCCACCTTATCCCCTCATTGCCCACTTGAAGACTTTCCTCATTAACCGTGCCTACAGTGACCTCCCTTCTCTCCCCAGCTCGCCAAGCACCCCCTGTTAAGTGCTCCATGACACTTCATCATGTTATAGTGCTGTATAAATGTAAGCTGTTATTGTTGGAAATTCTGTGAAGCACTTTGAGACGTTTTGATGATGCGAAAGGCACTGGATCAAATGTAAGGATTATTATTATCCACTCAACTTTGAAGCTGTTTCTTAAATGAAAACAACTTGCAAAAAAAAGCTCAAAATATCAGTCGTTTTTAAGAATTTGCCAAATTCTATACTCTCTGAAATGCTTAGGGAATAATTGTAGATAGTTAGATTTCCCCACCGGAGGCTGAGCTCAAAAGCAGGGTGGGAGCTGGGTGTTGGGTGGGGGCTAGCTGTTGGGTGGGGGCTGGTCTGGGGACTGTACCTTTCTCACCGTCTTCACTTTGTCTCGACGAATGGCTTCTCCTCCACCCCCCGTACTGTCTCATGTGGAGTCCCTCAGGGTCTGTCTTCGGTCCCCTCCTCTTCACCCTCTACATGCTCCCCCTCGGTGATATCATCCGCAGACATGGAGTTAACTTCCACATGTATGCGGATGACACCCAACTCTACCTTTCCTCCTCTACTCTCAACTCCACGACCACCAATGTCCTGACAGCTGCCTGTCCGACATCGAGTCCTGGACGAGAGACAACTTTCTTCAGCTCAACGTGCGAAAAACCGAGGCCCTCCTGATTGGTTCGCATCAGCGCCTCCGCACCTCAGGCGCCGACACCATCAGCATCCAAGGCTGCACTCTCCACCTCTCAAAGCCAGTCAGGAACCTCGGCGTTTTGTTCGACCCTGAGCTGTCCTTTCTCCCTCACATCCGCACCACAACTGGCACCGCCTTCCATCACCTCCGGAATATCGCCAGATTACGGCACTACCTCACCCCTCACGCTGCTGAAACCCTGGTTCACTCCTTTGTCACCTCAAGGCTGGACTATGGGAACTCTCTCCTCGCCGGCCTTCCCGCCACCTCCCTCCACAAGCTGCAGGTCATTCAGAACTCTGCAGCTCGTGTACTGTCCCGCACCAGGCTTCGGGACCACATCACTCCCACCCTCGCTCACCTCCACTGGCTCCCCATCCCCCAGAGGATCGAATTCAAGATCCTCATCCTCACCTACAAGGCCATTCACGGCCTTGCTCCCTCCTACCTCTCCAACCTACTATCCCCCTACCTACCTGCCCGTACCCTCCGTTCCTCCGGTCTGCTCCACGTCCCCCGTCCCAATCGCCCTACCATTGGTGGTCGGGCCTTCAGCCTCTCAGCCCCGAGGCTCTGGAACTCTATCCCCCAGTGTCTTCGCCTTGCTTCCTCCCTCTCCTCCTTCAAGGCCGGTCTCAAAACCTTTCTCTTTGACCGAGCCTTCAGCTCCCCTCTCGACTCTCTTCCCCCTTCTCGCTCCCTCCCATCCCTCCCCTCACCCTGACCATTTCCCCCCTCCTCCCTCCCTTCCCTCCCCTCACCCTGACCATTTCCCCCCTCCTCGCTCCCTCCCCTCCCCTCACCCTGACCATTTCCCCCCTGCTCGGGTCATGACCCAACTGTGCAGCGCCTTGGGACGTCCTCCTGACATGAAAGGCGCTTTATAAATGGAATCTTGTTGTTGTTGTTGTTGTTGTCATTGTCAGGAGGTTATGTGTGTGTACTTACATTGCACACCGGGTGCCATCGTGATCAGCAAGAGCGCCCTAGCTGGCGTGTGCGGGCACTAACATGTATATAGTGCACACAGGGATGTTCCCACTGTATCTGAAGGGAAAATAAAGGGTTAATTCCCCATAAATTTACATTGTCGGAGGTTTAAAGTATCATCTGAAAGTGGGCACCTCTGACAATGCCGTGGTCATGCACTTGACCTCATCATCACCCATTGCCTTGACATTTCCGACCTTAGCATTGTGGACAAGGCCATCTTGGACCACTTTTTCATCTCCTTTTCCTCTCACATTCCTCTCTCCTCCACCAAGCCTCTCCTCTTCGAACCCCTCCAGTCCGGTTTCCGCCCTGCCCACAGTACAGAGACTGCGCTTGTGAAAGTCACAAATGACATCCTCTCTATCTGTTACCAGGTCTCCCTCTGCCTTTTTGTCCTCCTGGAC